CAGACTTTCTCTTACATGTAATTCGTACCGCACTTTATTTAGTTGAACTATTTAGTACTATGAAAGTTAAATTAGTTAATGTAGCCTTGTATTCTTGAGTGAGACTTGGGAGTACGGCGGATGTCATGTGACGGGCACGTGCGGGCTCGGGGCGTGACATTTTTAGTGGTATCAGAGTTTAGGTTCGAAATATGACCATAAGGTAGAATAGCTCATGGAATAAGTAGTGTAAGTAGTAAAGTAGGTTTGAAAAGGTCTGTGTACTGTAAAGAGGAGGGAAGCATGACTAATGGTGCTCCATTTGGTGTTACAGGAAATGTCCGAACCAGTGCACGGGGAACAGGAAAATTGCGACTGCTCAGTCCATTTGACGAGGTGTGACGTGGCTCGTCTTAGGAAGAGACAAAGGTTTAATAGGGATAGGTTCCTCGAGGAGTTAGAGAGAGTCACGGACGGAGCTAGGAAGCCTTATGCGTTGAGTGGCCGAGTAGCTGACCAAAGGTAAGAGATCTCGACGCTGATAGTGTCGAGGGAGCACATGAGACAGGACATAGAGGGCTGGCGTGGAGAGGCCTTCCGTCTGCGAGAAGAGGTCATTAAGTTAAAGGTAGATATGGAAGTACAGAAGGGACTAGTCGACATGTATAATGAAGGATTTGAAGAAGTAGCTTCCCTACTCCAAAATCGACAGGCAGAGTACGAAACCCTAGCGGTGAAATATGGAGAGAGAAGGCAACGCGTGATGAATTGGATAGCTGACCACCAGCCCCTTGCACCTCAGATGCTCGGATGAAATCACCTGTGGCCTAATAGTGATACGGAAATAGAGGATGACCCCGAGGAGAACCCTGGGAACATGCCCATGGAAAATCAAGAGGGAGAGATGAGGTTGAGGACCAGGACGGTGCTAGAGAGGGCATAGGAGATGGAGCTATTGTGGATGCGGATCCACCAGTGGATGAGTAGTAGAGTTGGTCTAAGAGAGGTTTCATTTGACGAATCACTCATTTTATTAGTATCATGGAATATTATTCCAAAAACATTGGTAGGTGGATTAGCGATTGTTCGCGTAGATTAGTCCTCTAACTAGTCGTAGGCTATAAATAGACAGTTTGACTGCTAGGTTATTAGACATTTCCTTTTGAGAAAATGTTGAATTATTGGCCCGATGTATAAGGGGTCGATTGTTCTTCTCGTTCGGAGTTAGCGAATGAAACCTCCTACTTAAACATTTTTTTCTAGTATTTGTTATTATTATAATTTGTTTAATGTAATTTTTCGCCCATATTGTTTTAAGCGTAGTATGCGTAAAGTATGCAGGGAGGCAACTCTAGTTGGACCGTCTTAACATCGTTAAAAGCGTGTTTTCTTATGTACCTATATATATGTATCCATATATGCATAATAATAAATAGGGGTAAAAAGACTCACTTAGTATGGGGCTCATTTGTGTGACTTAAAAAATGGCACCAAGAACTAGGCGCGGCGGAAATCACAATGGCAGCTCTAATGGCGAGAACGTTCAGGGTAGTCACAGCCAAGAACCGTATCAAGAAAATAATGATCAGGATACGGGTTACCAGGGGGTTGGTTCAAGCGGGCATCAACCCTACCTGATGCTACCAACGGAATTAGTGACTGTACTAACTGAAGTAGCCCAAACATTACAAGCCCAATCACAGTTAGCACAAGTTCACGCTGTCCAAACCCCGAGTCATGGACAAGGGGGAACCCAATCCTACTATGAGAAAATGAAAAAGATCCATGTCCCTATCTTTAATGAAACCCCTGACCCGGATTTGACAGAAAAATGGTTAGATGAGATAGAAAATAATTTCGCACTTTTGCAAGTGCCGGAGGAGATGAAATACCTAATTGTCAAACCCTTTTTGGTAGAAGAGGCTAATAAGTGGTGAGCAACTCTGGAACCTACCGTTGTCCCACCAGTAAGTTGGACAAAATTTAGAAAGGAGTTCCTGAAATACTTTTTCCCACCTGCCATGAGGATATAGAAAATAGATCAGTTTGAAAATCTGAGACAAATCCCGGGGATGTCTATGGTACAATATTTGAATAAGTTCACGGCGCTGGGAAGATTCGTACCATCGACCATGACGGATGTTGATTTGAAGAAATATAAGTTTGTAGAAGGGTTGGCTAGTAGAATTCAAACTAGAGTGAACACCGCTTACGCCCCTACGTTCAATGATGTACTGGATGCCAGTGTGAAAGTGGAGGCTGACTGCAGAAGATTGGACGAAGAGGGTAGAAATAAAAGGCCTAGACTAGGGAATGAACTGGCAGTGTCGGGAACACTGAAACTTGGCAGACAGTTCCGCCTAATTAAGAAAAGTCGTTGGTCACCACCGAAGGTAATTGGAGAAAACACCTTTCCTACGTGCAAAACTTGTGGAAAGATGCATCGATGAGAATGCCGACTTAAGACGACTCCTACGTGTAAGACTTGTGGGAGGATGCATCGAGGGGAGTGCCGATCTGGAACAGGGACTTGTTTTGAATGTGGACAGCTGGGGCATAGGGCTATGAATTGTCCAAATAGGAGGTCAGAAGGAGATAAGAATGGTATGCCCGCTGATAAGAAGCCAAAGGTTAACGCGAGGGTACATGCCATGACCGACGTTGAGGCGGAGGTGTCAGGCAACGTAGTCACAGGTACTCTTCTAATTAATTCTATGCCTGCATATGTGCTATTTGATTGTAAAGCTAGTCACTCTTTTGTCGCTAAAAAATTTGCAAAGTACTTGTACAAGCCCCCTGAATGGATGGACCACCCCTACCGAATAGCTACTCCAGGAAATAAAATCTTAGTGTCTCATACTAGGTATCCAAACTGTAGTGTGGAATTGGAGAATAGGAAATTTGAAGTGGATTTAGTGCAAATAAATATGAGTGATTTTGATATTATCTTAGGAATAGATTGGCTAGTTAGACATTTTGCCCAAATTAATTGTAGAAGGAAAAGGGTATTGTTCATGAAACCGAGCGAGGAGGATTTCTCCTATCAAGGAAATGTGGGTAATAGAAAAGTTCGTCGGTTAGCCCTTCTATCTGTTATGCAGGCGTATAGGGCAATAAGAAAAGGATGCGAGGCATATTTGGCTTACGTTGTAGATATGGAGAAGGAAGAGATGTCCTTAAAAAAGATTCCAGTGGTGAAGGATTTTCCCGACGTGTTCCCGGAGGACCTTCTTGGCCTACCTCCGGATAGGAAAATAGAATTTGAAATAAATATTATACCTGAGGTGAATCCTATATCCAAGACCCCCTATAGGATGACACCTGCGGAATTAAAGGAACTCAAGAATCAATTACAAGAATTGTTGGACAAGAAATTTATTAGACCTAGTGTTTCTCCATGGGGTGCACTGGTACTCTTTGTAAGGAAAAAGGATGGTAGTTTGAGATTGTGTATCGATTATAGGGAGTTGAATCAAACCACGATAAAGAACAAGTACCCCCTTCCAAGGATAGACGACCTTTTTGATCAATTGAAGGAAACTAATGTATTCTCTAAGATAGATCTAAGGTCAGGATACCATCAATTGAAGATAAAAGTCGGGAACATTCAGAAGAGTGCATTTCGTACAAGGTATGGGCACTATGAGTTTTTGGTAATGCCCTTTGGATTAACCAATACTCCGGCAGCCTTTATGGATTTGATGAATCAGATATTTAAACCGCAACTAGACCATTTTGTGGTAGTGTTTATTGATGACATTCTAGTGTACTCTCTAGATGAGGAAACTCACGCTGCCCACCTCAGGGAGGTCCTAGAGATACTCAGAAAAGAGAAATTGTATGCTAAGTTCAGTAAGTGTGAATTTTGGTTGAAGAGTGTGGCATTTTTAGGACATGTAATATCAGGTCAAGGGGTGTCTGTTGACCCAAAGAAGGTAGAGGCAATTGTGGACTGGCCACGACCCACTAATGTCACCGAGGTGAGGAGTTTCTTAGGATTGGCTGGATATTATCGAAAGTTTGTGGAAGGATTCTTCACCATTGCTACGCCTCTCACTAGGTTAACTCAAAAAAGAGCAAAGTTTGAATGGACAGATAAATGTGAATCAAGTTTTCAGAAGTTAAAAGAGAAATTAGTGTCAGCCCCAGTACTTACCCTATCCTCTGGAACGGAAGGATTTGTGATCTATAGTGATGCCTCTAAAAACGGTTTAGGATGCACTTTGATGCAAAATGGAAAAGTTATTACTTATGCCTCCCGCCAACTGAAATCTTATGAGCAGAATTACCCAACCCATTATTTGGAGTTGGCGGCAGTAGTGTTCGCATTAAAAATATGGAGACATTACTTGTATGGTATACAATGTGAGGTATTTACCGATCACAAGAGTCTCAAGTATTTGTTCACTCAAAGGAAATTGATCACGAGGCAGAGGAGGTGGTTAGAATTAATTAAGGACTATGATTTGACAATCAGTTACCATCCGGGCAAGGCAAATAAGGTAGCAGACGCCCTTAGCAGGAAATCAAGGGTGTTAAGAGAGCCCACGGCAAGGGATCAGATGGAAAACTTTGAAATGGAGATGGTAGACTCCATGGCCCAAGTGCTAGCTGCCCTGGTAGTCGCACCTACCTTGATAGATAGGATTAATGAGGCGCAGCACTCGGATGCCGGGCTTGCAAAAATCAAGGAAAAACTGGAATTAGAACCCTTTGATGGGTTTAAATTGAAAGACGCTGGGAGTTTGTGAAAGAATGGTAGGTTGTGTGTGCCAAGGAATGATAGATTAAAACAAGAATTGCTGAATGAGGCACATAGTTCGAGATTCTCGATCCATCCTGGTGGAACCAAAATGTATTGAGATCTGAAGAGGAATTATTGGTGGAACGAGATGAAACGAGATATAACCAAATATGTGGCGAAGTGTCTGGTATGCCAATAAGTGAAGGCCGAGCATCAAAGACCTGCCGGCTTGTTGCAACCCTTAGAGATTCCCCAATGGAAGTGGGAACATGTAACAATGGATTTTGTAGTGGGGTTGCCCCGAACCATTAGGAATAATGATGCCATTTGGGTTATAGTCGACAAGTCGACCCATTTTCTACCAATGTCAAATGGGATATCAATGGAGAGGCTGGTAGAGATGTATATGAAAGAATTCGTATGCCTCCATGGTGTTCCAATGAGTATAGTGTCTGATCGAAACTCCAGGTTCGCGTCTAGATTTTGGTCGACTTATCAGGAAGTTATGGGGACTGACCTAAAAATTAAGTACAGCCTTCCACCCTCAAACGGATGGACAGTCGGAGAGGACCATATAGACTCTAGAAGACATGCTCAGGGCTTGTGCACTAGATTTTACGGATAGTTGGGACAGGTTGGTGAACCTAATGGAGTTCTCGTACAACAATAGCTATCATAGCAATATAGGTATGGCGCCGTTTGAATCATTGTATGGATGAAAGTGTAGATCTCCCTTATATTGGGATGAAATAGGCGAGAAACTGATCACTGGCCCTGATTTGATGGAGCGAACTTTGGAGAAAATTAAGATCATACGAGAAAGGTTAAAAGTAGCCCAGGACCGTAACAAGAGTTGGGCGGATTCAAAAAGAAAACCTTTGGAGTTCCAACCGGGAGAAAAGGTATATTTGAAGGTGTTCCCTACCAAGGGGGTGATGAGATTTGGACGAAATGGCAAGTTAAGTCCGAGATATGTCGGACCTTACGAGGTATTGGATAGAGTTGGACCTCTGGCGTATCGACTGGCTCTCCCACCTGCTTTGTCAAGGATACATAATGTGTTCCATGTCTCCCAACTGAGGAAGTATGTATCACACCCGAGTCATATTTTGGAGGACCAACCCATCGAGGTGAAGGAGAACCTATCAGTGGAGGAAGTTCCCTTAAGAATCGTGGATCGAAAGGACCAAGTTCTGAGGAGAATGACCATACCCTATGTCAAAGTGCAATGGACGAACCATACACCACGAGAGGCGACTTGGGAATTAGAAGAGGACATGCGGAATAGGTACTCATATCTCTTTGATCAAGTTACGCAAGTTTTGGGGACGAAACTTTTCATAAGGGGGGTAGAATGTGAAACCCACGACTGTTGGCACCAATTTTTATTATTTCATTTTCTCAACTAACTAAAAAGATAAAGTTGATATGCCAAAAAAAAAAGGAAAACAAAATAAAATAACTGTAGGATTAGGATAAGGGGGCTAATAAAGTAAAACTCTTATCCAAGCCACCTACTAGTAAGTAGTGCAAGGTTTAGGATTTTATTAAAAACCTAGACAGAAAAATAAACCCTTTCTTTCGTCTGTCTCCCTAGAGCAAGAGCCGTCAGAGAGGAGAGAAGGAGAAACAGGCGACACCGTCAATTGGTCTGACGACTAGGCACCTGAACCTGTAAGTCCCCGTTCACTCAAGAAAACCCTCTTGCAAGTTTTAGTTATGGTATTAAAGGTTCTAGGAATTTACGGGCATGTATTGTCGCTATATAGATATAAGTATATATGTTTTAATAAGTTTCGTATTTGGGTTAATAGGAATAGGGGGGTTGATTTTAATCTTGAAATTATAGGGTGATTGAATCTGTTTAGAGAAAAAAAAAGGGAAAAAAAAAAAGAAGAGAGCAGCGGCAGTGGGTTAGGCGTTGCAGAAGCAATGCCGCACAAGAAAGAATTCCAAGGGTTGGCCTTTCAGCCAACCCAAGTCAAGAAGAAGAAAAAAAAATGAGAGGTCGCCAGCACTTGCTGGCGACAATAGAGTAGAAATCATGGTTGAAGGTTTGGGTCGCCAGACCCTCTGGCGACCATGGTCAGCCAGGCCAACCATGGGACCCACACCGAGGAAAAATAAAAATAAAAATAAAATATATAAATAAATAAATAAATAAGTAAAAAGGGAGGCAATTTAAACTTGGACCGAACTATAGTATAACAATTTAGTAAATGAATTTTAAATATAATTAGTCCATTTTTATGGTATATCGTAAATATTAAAATTTAAGACCCAATTTAAGGCAATGGTTAGAATTGAAGGGTTGGCCATGTAAACATTATACTTAATTAATTACGTCTATGATGCATAAAGAAAAATCTAAAACATCTTTATCTAGCTTTATTAGGTTAATGTAGACAAAGTGGGTTAAGTTCTAAATTGTTAAACGAAACATGTAAATAATAATAATAATAATGATAATAATAATAATAACAATAATATTAGATAATCATGAACTATAAATAAATAGTAGTCAGGATAATAAACAGGATTATGAATAATTATTTTCTTTTGAATTAGGAAACTCTACAAAATGAACACTTTCCAAATTAAAAAACTTTCTAAAAATAGAAACTTTCCAAATTAGGAAATTTTCCAAAAATCGAAATCGTCCAATTTGAGGGAAATGCTAGTAGGGTCCATATAATAGTTTAGATATGAATCTTGTACTTATTTAGAGGTTATATATTTATGCATCTATAGGAAGTAACAACTAATTAGGGAACCTATGCATTTGATAGGTACGAGACAAGGACCTAAGGTAGTTCTACTCGAGCAGCCAAACAGAAGTAGGTGGTACTTACCCTTTTGAGATTTCAAATATGTAAATGAAATTCTTGTTTCCAATCCTATTTGGTTGTGTTGACTCGAAATGTGTTTGATTAAATGCTTTATTTGGATATTTACGAAAGCTATATTTTATTATACAAAAATGGATCATGTGACTTATTTGAAATGTTTTGATATGTTCTTATATACAAAAGGAGCTGAATCTTTTATGGAAGCAAAGAATTATGTATATGATATATGAAATGAATTTTGACAAGTAAATCTCAAAGCAGTTATGGAATAAATGGTAGGGGCTATAGTCCTGTTTAATCGCCATGGTAGCGATTGGTAAGGTCATGGTAAGGTCCGACCGATTGGTAAGGTCATGGTAGTCTGGTATAGAGTCCGGCCGATTGACAAACCCGTGGTAATCTGGTATAAAGTCTGGCCGATTGGCAAGGTCATGGTAGCTTGGTATAAAGTCCGGTCGATTGACCCAAGAATGAAATGAAATCAATTGATAGTCATGAAATCTATTGGTCGCCCACCTAAAAGGGGTCTAATCTTTAGGTTGAGTATTCAGTAGCCGGTCATTACATGTACTTGTTATGAGCTGATCTGATTGAATGATTTATGAACTGAGTTGAAATGAAACTTATGAACTGATATGAGTTGATTTACGAATGGATATGAAGAGATTTGTGACTTGAGACGAAATGGTTTATGACTTTGTGATTTCTCATGTACAACTATCAATGAGATACTTTTAAATTACTTGTCCTTCTTTACTGCGGATTGCTTTATAAATGACATTACTTTCAAAATTACGGATGTGAATGATATGCAAACGATTTGGGTTGTACTTATATTTATATATGTATCTATAAAATTAAGAGTGCATGGTCCAACAGAGGGGTAAATACTACCTACTGAACGATGTGTCGCTCAACCCATTTCTTACCATTTTTGCAGATTTTGAAGAGTATGAATTGGTCTATGTAGAGGACCCTGAGGATGACTTTTATTAGTTTTAAAAGAATAGAAGTTGGCAGACTAGCTACTTCTAGTTGTTAGCCTTATTTACTCTTGTTTCCGCTGTTTCAATTGGAGAATAAATGTGCGAACGTTTTGAATATTCACAGACTTTCTCTTACATGTAATTCGTACCGCACTTTATTTAGTTGAACTATTTAGTACTGTTAAAGTTAAATTAGTCAATATAGCCTTGTATTCTTGAGTGAGACTTGGGAGTACGGCGGATGTTATGTGACGGGCACGTGCGGGCTCGGGGCGTGACACAAGGCTAGTGCAAGAAGTAATGACCATGACCCTACCTGTCGTAGCTTGGTCAGAATTGACTAGAGTTTTTTGGCTTGAGTTCAGAACATCATCTGGAGCAACTCTCTCCAAACTCCTGAGCTATAAGTAGTACATCCGCTGGTTACTTGTTTGTAGAAACCTTTGAACTATTATCTCTCTCTCTCTCTCCTTTTTTTTTTGGAAATGTACTGAGTTAACTTAGCTGAAAACTCACCCAAATGTTGGTGTTTTTCCGACAATGTTGTGCTTACTGGGTAGTAAAAACTACACATAAAGCTAGAGTGGTTCTGGAAATAAAGGCCCCAAGGTATGGAGGTTTAAAGGTGTGGTTGAAGGATCAATAAGAAAAGGCAACTTTTGGATTTGTCTGAGGCTCCCACACCGGGAAGAAGAGCTCTCTACTTAGAGAGAGAAACAGCCTCTACTAGAGAGAGGATAGTACTTTTGTGTTAAATAATAATCTATATCAAGGACCTCATACTATCTGGTGGTTCTTGCACAATTGTCAATCCCATGTCCTGTTCCATATTGCGCTTAGGTAAACAATCAGCTACTCTATTTCCTTCTCTCCATGTATGGATTATCTTGCACTCCCAATCTCTTTTCACCCACTCTAGAATCATCTTCACCAAGTTTGCATACGGTCCCTCCCTATGCTTCTTCTTTATCAGCATAATACTGGTTAGTGAATCTATTTCTACCTCAATCTTCCTGATGCCTTCCTCCCATGCAAGTTCCAAACCCCGGATTATGCCCCATAGCTCAGCAGTGACATTGCTAATTATTCCTAAGTTTGTTCCAAATCCCCTTTTCCAGATTCCCATTTCATCCCTAATTACCTACCCCAACTTTCCCAGAATCTTTCATTCAGTTATCCGATACAATTTCTGTTATATCTCTTGCCTTTAATACATAGCCATTAGTATTCTGACCTGTGCTAGGCACAGATTTATATTTCAATTCAAAACAATACTTATATATTATTGTATAGGATAAAGTATATGAAAAGACAAAAAAAAAATTCAAAGAAGTGTTTATTTAACATGTTAAAAAAGGTTTATTTCGTAAATACAAAATGAACTTTCTTAATTTTAATATTTTAAATAAGTTGAAACCAAATTTTGTTAACCTATTGTTTGTCAATATATGATAACAATTTGAATGAAATAATTTAACATATAACAATGTATATGATAGAGCAATTATAAACTTATTCATTAATATATCATGTTATACCTATATATCGAAATTTTTAACATTAAAAATATAAAGTACAACTAATTCATTTTCCTCAATTTTAGAAAATTATTTCTCCTATCTTTTACCTGCTAACTGGCTATCTGTTACCTTCTATAACTTTCAGATTTCTTACCACGGTGCCGTTTTTCCTGTCATATTCCCATAATCCCATCCTTTCTTGTCCCCCCTCTCCGTCCAATCTTGTAATAGTTCACCTTCCTTTTTCGACTTTTTCCACCACTATTTAACTCCTTGTTATTGTCTTTCCCTCACCTATAGCTAGCCTCTAGCTCTCTATCATTGCCCCCCCCCCCAATTTTCTATTATTTTTCCTTTCACCATTCTCCCAAACCCTTTAAATCCATAATTTTTTTTAGGCTAGTAATATATTTTTCATTCAGTGATTTCATAATTTAGGATTCACAAATGGTATCATTATTGATATTTTTAATCCAAGACCAACGAATATTATTTTCTTTTTGTTTTCTATATAATTTGCCCCTTTAGTTAGAATTACTAAGTTGAAGGGTAAACTATTGTTATTTACTTTTTTACTTTTAGTAGGTTTGGTAATTTTTCCTCTTTATTTACTGTCACATTAATATATTTCTAATCAAATCCTATATAAGTGGGTCACTTCTTACTTTTAAATTCAAAAAACATGAAAGGATATATAACAATTTAAAAAATTCAAAATTCTATAAAAAAAAAAAGGAGTTATAAGCATTCCGATTTAATCATTCTAAAAACTCTTCTTGCAATACATATAGATATATAGATTATTTGTAAAAATAATTGCCACTAAAGTAAACGACCTAGTCTAGGGCTTGTAATCACTCTTATTACAAATGGCAAATTACTTTATGTAAAATGACAATTATAATAATTTTAAGTTCCAGGCATTCCCTTGTCCTTAAAACACAGCTTCTTCTCAAGCTTGAAAAGTAGGAAATTGATGGTTGATAAAACTCTTATCTTCCTCCTTGATGGTTCCATTTTTTTTTGTCGCAACGGTAACATTTTTATAATCTAATCTATCCTAATCTAGGGGGACAGGGAGCTGATAAGAGTAGAAACTCCATCTAAGAAAGCCATTGAAAACAACCACATATAGTGGCAATTTGGTGGGAGACAAGGGTTGAACCCTTGCCGATCTCCCAACACCATCAAAACTTAAGTGTTTGGCAGTGACCACCAGGTGTTGTAATCCATTTTTGAAAAATAAAATAAGTGATTAGAAAAATATGATTTTTTTGATTAAATTTTATTTCAAAGTTGGTTTTTGATTTCAGAGCATTAAAAAAGAAAAAAGGGCCTAAATGGGACTTAAAATATGTGACGATTTTAGCCTAAAATAAGTCTAAAAAGAGTTTGAAGAAAAAAAAAATAGGAATCACCACTTGGTATTGAGTTAAGGTATACCAATTCACCAAAAATGTGTTTTTTTTAAATAAAAAATAAATAAAACCTTTTTTAAATGACTCCAAGTCTTGGAAAAACAAGAAAAAAGAGTTCGGGAGTCACAGTTGAAGAAAAGGAAGGCAAAAACTTGATCAAAGGCATCCTTTTTCAACCTAACCAAAGTTAGTTGCGAGATTTAGTCGAAAATTTTTTTAGTCTAACCTATAAAACTTATCACATTTAAATGTTTCTATATAGATGCAAATCTAGACCTAATGGATATCGAGATGGTCGAAATATCTCTTCAAAATTTAATTGATGCAAATCACATTAATTGTGATGCCCAAAAATGATTTTTAGAAGAGATAACGAATATGCAAAAATGGGACTCGAAGAAAAGAAGAATTATAATATGTGACCTATAGGAATGAAATGCAACATAACAGGTACGGGGGACTAAGATTTGTGACTCTATTTTCCTTTCTATAGAGGGGATGAGAGCGTGCTAAGGCTAAAAGCCATACTCGTTGCTTTCCCATACTGGAAGGATGATTCTCCTAACTTAATCAAGCAAATGAACTAGTCTATTTTTAATTTCCTGAACGAAATACAAGTCTAAATGTCATGTTTCATGCACAAAGGGATATGGGAGATAATACATAGAGGAAGTATTATGTAAGATGAGAAAGTATCCTAAAAATGAAAAATATGTATGAAATGCGATGAAAAAATGCGATTCTATAGTGAGACGGCCTAAAGGGTCTAGCATTGAATTAACCCATTTTTACAAGTCTTCACTAGCATTGCACTAGTGAGAAATCGAGGGGAAAGGCCACAACTAGCGTTGGACTAGTGTGGTGACGTCATACATTTATTATAATTAAATAAATCATATAAAGTATAATTAAAACAAATAAACACATAATGCACATCGAACACATAACACATAAGCATAATTTCTAGATGCAAAACCCTAATGAAAGCAAATAAACAAGTAAACACACAAGAATACAAGCACACAAGCAATAAATGCAAATAAAAATCGAATTATTACATTCGGGGCCTTAACTACAATCTAAGAGGGAAACTTTAAAAATAATAACCAAATTATTACATTTATCCAACTAAATATATTTTTAGCAAAAATTAAAGCCTATCTATTACATAGGCTAGTTAAATTCATGTCTTTAGTACCTATCTATTACAATTTGACATTTTAATGCCTCTCAGATAATCATCAAAATTGAATAAAATAAATGAAACTTAAAATGAATAAAAATGAATAATTAAAAGAAAAAGCACTCAAAACATGCAATTACATATAAAAAACACATTGAAGCACATAAAAGAATTTAAAATAATAAAAGAGATTATCTCCCTTGAAGTTGTGGTTAAATGGGGTGAAATTTGCCCTACTTATACTCCAAAATCAATAAAATGATCAAGGTACCAATTTAATTATAAAGAAATGGAAATAATCATGAAATCTGCCAATTAAATCACTTAAATGAAGTATAATTAACAATTAAAGAAGAAAAGTAACTTATATTTAAGAAATCAAAACTACTAGGGACCTAATTACAAAAATTAAGAAAGTTTTTGAAGTCAAATTATAATTTTAACAAATATTAGGGGTCAAAATTAAATAAAAATAAAATTTAGAGACCAAAATGCATATAAATTAGGACCTAATTGAAAGAAAACTCAAGGTTTAGGGATATATTGTAGTTACACGAAAGTATAGGGACTTATCTGCAAAAATATTTTCTGGTTTCTTGACAAATCAGGCCACCCAGCCATTTTCCTTATTTCTTTGGGCCAGAATTCTCTAAGCCCAGTCGAAAGTCCAAGAAAACAAGTAGGCCAACCCATCTTTTTTACCAATTAAGCTCAACCGAAAAAGTGTGGGTTTTGTCGTCCCAAACCCATGTCAAAACCCATAAAACAAACTACAACACCCTTGCCAAACCCAATTAGACTAACCCTAAACCCAAAAATTCTCTTTCTTACAAAACCCAACCAAAATATTAAATCAACAAAAATCATTAAGGTTTATTTATCCTCTAAA